TGTGTGTGTGTGTGTGTGTGAGAGTGTGTGAGAGAGTGTGATGGTTCAGTAATGAGGATCACAGTCTTCCAGCAAACTGTCAGTGATGAACCCGATCTTCAGCAGGTTTTGGTAGTAGCTTTTCTCCACAGCGGTGTTAACAGTCCAGCCCACCACCTCCACCCCTCGCTCTGCCCAGTACTGGACGTAGTCCCTGAATCACAGAGAGGAGGAGAGAGAGAGAACAGCTCAGTCGATAGTCTCATAACATCTTTCCTTTCCTCGAATGATTAAACACTGTTAATTTCACCTACAGTGATATGAAGTCTTTCTGCACGAGGATGGCAGAGACTCCACAAAGCTTCCACAGGATGTGATGGTGGGCCCAGTCCAGCAAGACGTCCAGAAACCCCGTCCAGAGCTGACCCCATGTGGACAGGGTCCGCGGAGTGCCATCGCCAAAGCGGCTCAGTCTCCAGGGCCGGTGGGTCAGGGCCGTGACCACGTGGGGGTCAGTCTGACGCATCTGTGGAGGAAAACCAAAAAGCTGTTTTAATAGAAATCAGACTCGGGACTTTGCATTTCATTCAAACTGGTCTGTCTTAGATTAGGGACAAAAATAGAATGGCACTCAGCAGAGCACATACCTCCGCCAGGGCCCAACAGATTCAATCAAGCTGCACCAAATTACACACAACTCAAAGTTTTTTCACCTTGATCCATAAACTATTCCCCAAAGAAACTGAAAAGGTTTTAAAAAGGCCGTGATTCTTCCCTGACCCACATGCCTCCACTAATTTAATTGAAATCCTTCCAATTGTTTTTGCGTAATCTTGTTACAAACAAACCAACAAACAAATGGACAAGGGTGAAAAAAAATATATAACCTGGTTGGGGGGGGGGAATAATCATGGTCATCAAAACAAATAAACACAGCTTTCATGCAGACAATCTTAAACATAATAGATGTTCTGTCTTCTAAAGATTAAAATAACTTTCTAGAGTTTGTATTGTTGTTAGATGCTGTTACCTTGTAGATAACTTTGGGTTCAATTGAGGAAACAATACTGGAATTGTAAAGGGCAGGGAACTTCTTGTACATCTCACGAAGCACTGATGCAGCCTGGACAAGATAAGATAAGATACAAGTCAGGATGAGGTAGACAAGAGAACAGAAAAATATAGAAGAAAGGCAGTAAAATAATTATTTTTAATTTAAATAAAAAATGCTGATTATGTATATTATAAACACCTTTTCACTGTAGAGGTTTGTATGAAAGGTCATAAGTAAGGTGCAGTGGCACGGGATGATTGTACGAGCAGAGGAACACTTGTTAATTTTCCACAAAGAAACAGGAGAAATTAGCAAAAGAACATTGTGAAACCATGTGATACTATTTGAAGAGGCTGAAGAAGTATTCTGATTGGTTTAGTCCATTGTATTTCTGCTTATAATGCTCCATATGTACTTATACTGTACACACACCTAAATAAAAACTTTAATAATAAAAATAAGAAGAGATAGTTATCATTGACTTCACATTGCTCGTCAGTTTCCTCCGTCTTTCTTGCCTCTTACTTTCTTAACTACGTCAGTATATTTAGCACCTTATCAGGTTGACCTTTGACGTCAAAGAAGATGGTCAGCTGGTGTCTCATGCATTCCTCCACGGCCTCCTGCAGAGTTGGGACCTTCTCTCCGCTGAACTTCTCTCTGGAGACGAGAGAAATCACGGCAGTTTTGTTACGATGCTCCGGGATGATCGTATCACTGATGCATCAATTTCACACATTCAACTCTATAGCTTGAAAACCATGGGAACAAAGATTTCAAATGCCAACATCTTTCAACAGTGAAATATATGTGAAGAGCAAGGGATCGCTGGGGAGAACTATTTTTCTGCAAAGGTTTTCCACGTGTGAGACTGATAGGAAACGTACTTCAGTCTGTGATGAGCAGCAGCGTCTAATCTCCTCAGTTGGACAATTTGCAGTTTGCTAACTGGACCGGAGCCGTTGGTGGTGCGGTCAACGGTCTCGTCGTGCATCAGCACCGGCACGCCGTCGGCAGTGAAGCTCAGGTCCAGCTCCACTCCGGTGGCTCCGTTCCTGCTGGCCTACAGCACCAGGAGATCACAGGGAGAGAGAGAGGACAAATGAATACAGGTGTTTTCCCTCAGAGGTTTTCAAACGACTGGAGGAAATGAGAGTGTGACACGGGAGGTGTGACAGTGGGTGGATGTATTAGGGGTGGCAGAGAGGGTCATCCACTAACCATAAGGTCAGTGGTTTGATCCCTGGCCCCTCCAGTCTGAAGATACTGAACCACATTAGCGTATTGATAGAAAAACTTCATATGGTTTTGTGTGAATCGGTGAATAGTGCTCTGATACAAACCATTTACTGTTCATACTGTGGTGTTTGAGTATTGCTCTGTCTTGCATTAAATGATCAGTAGATTTTTTTCACTTGTTTCCATGTTTATGGCAGAAGACCAGTGTCTAGCTTTGATCAAATCTCGATAGGTGGATAGATTTAGTGACGTACTCATCTCTTAGATCAGTTCAGGAGTAAAACAGGAGTAAATGAGTCCAAATAATAAAACTGTTTTGTTAAACCTCCCACCACTTGGGGGAGTAGTGCCGCTGTCAATGAGACGAGAGGTGGATCTAATCAGGGGGGTTACTTGACACAGGTGTTGCTGTTAAGAAGCCGTGTGGTAATGGCTGTTTCCTCTTACAGCCATTATGATTTCTTTTGTCTATGTTTTTGGGAAATAGACTCATCACAGAGAAGGTGGTTCTGATCTGTTTGTTTTAGAAACCCTGCAGATTGTAAATCGTCTTGGTTTTGGAAACTGGACACTCATGTCTAAACAATTAATCATCCACAGTGGGAGCTTCTTTTGATTGGCAACAGGGTCACTAGAATAAAACTGCTCCATTGAGGACAGCGTTGGATTTCTGCGGTGGTTTGAGTGTGTCCTGGGACCAGCTGCTGTGGTTTCTCACTGGAGCTGTGGATCATGCACGGAGGTAACCAGAACACCTGCAGGCCGGCCAATGCCAAGGTACGTGTAGCCTACCGCCAACAAAAGAATAACTTTTGTTGTAAATGTGTGCACACTCTACTAAAAAGAGTTAAAGGTCCAGTGTGTAGGATTTAGGTGAAAGGGATCTATTGGCATGAATTGAATGTAAAATAATCCTAGTGGTTTTCACTAGTGTGTTTCACCTCAATTTTTTTTACAGCAGCCCAGACTGGAAAAACTAAACAGCTTTTGAATTTTTATGACAACTGAAGGTTACCACAGGTTCTTACATGTGAGGGGTATTCAGCTGTAACATGCAACTTCACCACTAGATGTCCCTAAATTCTACACAATGAACCTTTAAATTGACAGAAAAATCACCTGTGGAAAAAAATGATCAACCTGCAGAAAGAAAGAGTCTCAAAGAGCTGCGATATCTCCTAAGACTGAAAATATAATAATTTGTCAAAGTGACACCTAAAGGAGACCAAAGATCTGCCTCATTTTGCTCAGATACTTTTTACCCAGTGACTGATCAGAGGGGGAAATGTGGGATCCAGTGTTTTTGCAGGTTGAGGCTGAACAATAGTTGGAATAAATGAAGCTCATCTTCACATCCAGCTCCTTCAAAGTCACAGAGAGCGACGAGAAATATGATCCCTGACAGACTTGGAGTCCTGTGGAGGATGGAGATGAAGCTGATGATGATGCAGGAGGCAAGGATTTCAAATCTGTACGTCTGGAGTTTAAATGCAGGACTTGATGGCATTAGTTAATTTTATACAATAAGAACAATGAGCATCTGATCTGCAAAGGCCGATAATGAACTCTCCCACAGTGTGAGCATCCCTGACCTGGATGCTTACACCGCAAAATAACAAGGAGTCACGACATTGAAAACTGCAGCAGCTCCTGCAGCTTTTCACAGCAGAAGGTTTATAATTCCACCAAACCCTCATGACTATTGTCTATTTTCCTCTAAAGAGAGAGTTCTGCAGACATTCATTAATTGTGGGTGTTACATTATCTGCAGCCAGTTCTGTAACCTAACACCGAGCACAGCCTCACTCTCTCGGCTGACTGACCTCTCTGATCGCCGCCAGCGTGTTCTCCGGTGCGTCGTGGCTCCCGCCGCGGTGCGCCACCACCGGGACGCCGCCCGGAGGAGCCCCGGGCCGGAGGACGCGGCCGGCCTGCTCCGCGGGCACCGGGGGGAACCGGAACATCACCATGAAGACGTAGAGGAACGCGGTGAGCAGGGAGGCCCCCGTGGCGCTCCTGGTCCCCAGCATCAGCAGCAGGAACACCGCCGAGAAATACATCACCTCATCGCCGATCTGCAGCATGGTGGAGGCAGGGCAGGGTGGTGGGTAAACGAGCGGAGCGGAGGATGGAGGAGTCGATGCACAGGAAGATGGCAGGTGACATGGATGGAGCTCCACCGTCTGCGCCCTGCTGACTACATGCTGGTGGATCAGAGACACGAGCGAGAATCTGCAGCTTCACGTTGGGAAGAGGGAGAGTCAGAGTCAGTGCTGCAATGTCAAGTGTGGAGGGGGAAAAAAAGAAAAGAGAAACACCCGCTCAAAACATTCAGATTAAAAAGCTTGTCATGCTTATATGGTTTAGGATTCATGTGTAAATCATCTATTTGGCTTTTTCTCACAGTTTTAGCAGCATCTGATGATTTATTAAATGCCCAAAGTCGGGTTCAGATCCAAATATATAAGATTCAAATGTATTTCCATGTGATTTGTATCAACATGTCTCCATAGTTCAGTGTTTATAAAACAGTACACAGAAAATGGCACTTTTTATTGAGACTTAGCACCACCTGGAGGCTGGGATGTGCAGAGTTTGGCTGCAGGAATGAGAGATTCATAAATGCAATTAAGCATCAATTTGTCTTCATTAAAACATCAGAAGCAAAATAATATAAAATACAAACAAGCATGAACAACATGAAAAAGTAAGAATATTTAAGTAGACCCAAAAAATCCTCCCTGAGAAATTCTGAATGTGTGTCTTAGATCGCTGCCGGCTCGAGAGAGAGACATTTCTGAAAATCTAGGCTCCTTTCAGGTTTCCTGGTAAACTAAACTAACCCTGGTAACTAAAAGTCCTATCTGTGAAATGAAAACACTGTGAGAATCCCAAGACTTTGCCAAACACAGAGATATAATATTTATTAGTTAGAGTCAAGAAATGTATTAGAAAAGTGTCTTCATGGCTCTTTCCAGACATGTCCTCTCAAAATTAACATTAGACCCGATGGGAAGTGGCTCGGAAAAAAAGTTTAACAAAATGATACAGCCAAAAGTTTAGCTCTGATAGATTTCATTGTGACGTGTCTGCGAAGGTAACAAGTTCTCCGCTGTATTCTCAGGAATGAAGGCGTTCTGTTGGGTTTCGTGTCTCTCAGGACAGTCTGCTGGTGTCTCTGTGGGCAGTGAGCTGATGTGCTGCAGCAGCTGGTCGCAGTAGAGAGGACTCCGCTGTTTGTCCCTCACAGCCTCCACTTCCCTCTGCAGGAGTGCATGGTGGACCGAGCTGGCTTCCTTCAGCATCTCTGGACACACAAAACAGACAGCAGACAGGTCATGACATGGAAGTGGACACAGACAAATAAAGGTGAATATTCAACATTAAAAAAAAAATTTGATATTTATATATATAAGTAACTGAAGCACTTGATAGTGCAGTAATTATGTCTAGACGAGATAAAAGCAGCTCAGCCACTCATAGCTATCAGTTCCATAAATATGCTGGATGTTATTCCACCAAACAACAACAACAAAACCTACCCCCTAATACTGACCCACACCAACATTTGATGGGTTCTTCCCTGACACATTCCACATCCTTCCTAAAAGTGGAAACTAAATGGAAATGTAGTTGTTTTTGTGTAATTTTGATTACAATCAAACAAACCAACAAACGGACAGGGGATGAAAACTTCATAAGAAGGTCATAAAATAATCCTTTGGATATTAAATTCAAGTTTACAGTCTCTGTTTAAAGTCAGATGCTGAATAGATCTGGTCTACAACAGAGTTAAATGGAAGTCAGAACACCAGGGGACGGCAGTGATGAACAACAGTACATTGTCCACTCTGCAAACCAAACGTGTTAGTGTCCTGTTCTTCCACCGGGAGGCGACAATTCTCTTTTCAAATCCTCTCCTCCCATCATCCCCTGCTGGTCTTGACAGATATATCGAGTTACCTTGAATTGCTGTCGATGGATAAATGCTTTGGAAACCACAATGAAAAAGTGCTGTTCCAGTGGTGACATGCTGTCACTCTGGATGAGTTAGTTCATGTAAACTCATCATCCGATACCTGCCTTTGTTCTTCAAGGGGATGGAGGGGAATTTTTAGCTTTTGTGTTTACTGTACTCGGTGGAGAGCAGTAGAGCAGAACAATGAGGAGTTGTGAGAAGAGAGCTCTACCCGTGCCAACAGTCTGTGGGATTGAGCAGGTCGCAGCCGTGCTGGCGTTATCAGGGCGGTGGGCTGAAGGAGCGACAGAGGGAGGGATGAGAGGGAGGTGGTGCTGTCCGTCATGCTGTCAGGACATGCTGCCTTCATTAAGCCACTTCACAGATATGCGTTTGAAATCCAAGAAGCATAAAAGTGGGATCAACTTTTAAAAGGAACAAAGAAAAAGTGTGTGTGTGTGTTTGTGTGGGGGGGGGGACTTCAAAAAGAGTCACAAGGATTGCTTCCACATTTGTGGCGCAGGCAGATATGGGTGCTGTCAGATACACACGATCACTCAGCAAGATATGAGGTCATCTCGTTTCACAAAGACACTCCGAGCTTCATGGAAATCACACTGAGCGATGCACAATGGCTCATATTTGTATCACGTCTCTGTAAAGCTGTGTTTTCAACAAAAGTACCCAGAACTTTTAATCACAGGACCTTTCAAGGAACTAAAAGGCTCCAACAAATTATAGTTCACCTGCAACTTTCCACCTCGGTCTAAAGACGGTTTCATCGAGCTCCACGAATTAACGTCTTAATTAAATCAGCGAAAATGTTGAAACCCCCCCCCCCCCTCTTGCAACTTAAAGAAAGTGAAAAAGAATTCCTGGATCCAACCCCTGATCTGGTTCTGAACCAAACTTAATGTGCTCTTCCCTGACCAATACCACATCCTTCAGACAAGTTTCAATGGTGCACACGATGAAAACATAACCTCTGTATGCCAGGTGTACATAGAATGTTACTCGTAACAGCTAAAACTGTGCAAAAAATAAGGCTTCATTCCAGTTTCATATAAATATTCGTTGTTACTGTCAACAGCAAAA